GGGAGGTAATCGGAAGGGTTTTTCCGGAGCAAATCTCGAAGATCTTGATCTTTGTCATAGGTGAGGAGATCGGTTAGATTAACGAGGAGGAACTTCGGATTTTGAACAAGGCTTTCTCTGTAAGGGAAGACGTTGGGCTCGTTCGGACGAGCGAAGTTCCTGATGAACTCTTTAAACTTCCTGAGTACCGTGTGGCGGTTCGCCGCCTGTTCGGGATCGGCGCCGGCGCCATGAGGGAACTGTGCTTGGTCGCTGTAGTGTACCGCACCTTCATCCCAGCCAGACATCTTCAATCGTCGAAGCTTTCTTTTGGTCTCTCGTCGACGTTCTCTCGCTTTCTCTCTCACTTCTCTCTAGAGATGCTCTTTGTGCGGCGATAGTCCTCTCTGTCCCGCCCTTTTTCTCAGGTATTTTGGCGGGAAAGATATGGCGGGAAATGATGAGAAGTGATAGTGCACTCGTTGGTGGCTGGGCCTGCTTACTTTGGGCCGGTAGTAACATTTTGGTGACTCAAAGGTTATTGCATCAAAATTGAACAATACTTTAGGATAGGCGTGGGCAAAAAAACCGGTTAACCGAACCGGTAGCTGAACCGAAAACCGGTTTAGCCCTAAACCGGTTCACATGTGAACCGAACCGTTGATGAACCGAACCGCCGGATTAAACCAATTCGATGTTTCAACCTTTGAGACCGGTTTGGAACCGGATTTGTCTGAACCGGTTTCCGATATTACCGTTGGTGAACCGCCTGTGAACCGGTTTGAACCGGTTTTTGAATTCTGCCCGTTTTTTTGTTTCTTTCTAACGGCTTTATAGCCGTTTGAGGCTGTGTAAGACCCGATTTTGGCTCCTTTTTGACCATATTATCCATTCCTTTTAGTATATATATGTATTAGATGTTTAGCTCTCAACTTTACCTTAACCAAACCTCAAAAAACCTCTCTTAGTTCAAAAAACTCTCTTAATTCAAACAATGGATTCGGCTTCCGTTGGTGTTGGAGATTCATCAAACAATCTTACCGTTGTTAACATCAAAGAAACAAATAGAAATCCGGCTATTTGGTGCAACTATGACTTGTATGTAATGTCGAACGGTATAAAAAAAGCGCGATGCAAGAAATGTGGTGTTTTTTTAAATGAAGATGAGAATTCGACATTGAAAACTCATATGACCAAAAGATGCCCCGCGGTGAAATTTGGGCCGGGACATAATCAAACAACAATGGCGAATGATGCAACATTGTGGAGTTACGATATGGCTAAAGTTCGGGATAGGATGGCGAAGTTCGTGATTCAAGAATGTTTGCCTTTTGACCACTTCGACAACAAACGATTGACTTCACTCATCCAAAATACTCTCCAACCACGATATTGTCATGTGAGTCGTACTTCTATTAGACGTGATTGTATTGAAATGTGGAAACTTGCAAAAAATGAAATGATTTTAGGATTTCAATCTTTAGAAACCGGTGTGAATTTAACTTGTGATGTTTGGACGGCTCCTCACGGTTCACCGGATGCGTACCTTTGTGTTACCGCTCATTGGATTAATCCAACTAATTGGGTAATGATGAAGCGTACGATTACGTTTGAATTGTTTGAGTACCCGCACACCGGTATAAATTTATTTAAAATTTTAGATTGTGTGATCAAAACTTATAAACTTGAAGGAAATATTTTTTCTATATCTTTTGATAATGCTTCAAACAACATCATCGCGGTTGGACAACTAAAACTAAAATATAAACCAATTTGCGATGGTGTTTTTTTTCATAGTCGATGTGTTGCACATATCATTAATTTGGTTGTGCAAGATGGACTAACTAGCATTGAAACTATAAAAGATGGTTTCAAAGACATGCTAAAATATATTTTTAGTTCTAGTAACGCTCGATATCATAATTATATGCAATTTTGTGTCGATGTGAATGGCCTCTTTTTAGGTCCGAATTGGGAAAATAATACCCGATGGAACTCCACTTGCAAAATGTTTTGTGCCTTACGTCAAAAAGATACTTTAAAAATGTTCCATGACAACCTTGCGGACCGTAATAAGGTTACGTCTTATCCGGAATCAAGTTGGGATACTATCAAACTTGTTACGGACATGCTTGATGTTTTTAAAAAAGCAACTACTTTTTTATCGGGGGTTTATTATCCTACAAGTTGTTTAGTTTTAAACCAAAATTTTTTAATGTGTGCGAAAATAAATGAGTTTGAAATGAGGAGCACAATGTTTGCTAATATGATGAAACCGATGAAAGCAAAGTTAAACAAATATTTTTCAAGAAATGCCTCCCATTATTACTTGTTCCGCCGCTTTGAATCCGACTCTAAATGTTGGAGGGGGGGGGGGGGGAGACTTTAATTGAAAATATTTGTTATGATTTGGGTTTATTGGATGATGACATTGATTATGCATCAAAGGAAGTTTCAAAATTTAACAAAGTTTTTCAAAATTTGTTTGAAGTTTATTTAACAAAATATGGTTCAACAAACATTCATGACATGATGCAAAATACGGGGGCATCCGGATCCACTTCTCACCAAAATAACGAAACAATTAGGCTTTATAATACTTTGAGGAATGAAAATTCCAAACGAGCTCGGTCTAACACCCCTAGTAGCGAGCTCGGAAGGTACATTGGTTCCGATTTCTTGTCTCAAATGAGTATTCAAGAGTTTGAAAATTTTGATATTTTGGCTTGGTGGAAAGGAAAGGAAACCCAATTTCCGATTCTAGCCGCTATGGCCCGTGATCTACTAAGCTCCCAAGCTTCTACGGTAGCTTCGGAATCGGTTTTTTCTGTTAGTGGCAGGGTAATATCACCAAGAAGAACAAAACTAACCCCTTTGTCGGTGGAAGTGTGCATTTGCTTGAAATGCTACCTTGATGGCGTGGAAAGGATACAAGACATTGAAGTACTAGAAGGCACATCGTTGCATGTCGAAGCACGAGTACATGAGGAAGAAGTAGCGATGGGAATGTCGGTGCCACTCACCCTATAAGAGATCGAGTATGAGAGAGGATTACGCAACGACATGGCGGATGACGAATAAATACAATGACTACGGACTTGGAATGAAGACTACTACGACAACAATGTTTTATATTTGAAGATGTATTAGTTTGACAATTTGGATGTTTTGTGTTTTTATGTTTGAAGTTGTATTATGTATTTCCAATATAAAAAAATGAAAAAAAAAGGTTGAAAATTGCTCCAAAAAATGTGTTGATTCAAGTTGAACAATTTTGGACATACATTATGTTTTTGTACATACACACAAACATCAAATTTAAAACCAAAAAAAAAGTTAATACATCAAAGGATATGTATATTATTAAACAAGAAACAAAAGAAAAAAAAATGAAAAAAACCTTTTGGGATATATATATAGACGTGTATATGTATGTGTGTGTAATACCATAAGGCTTTGGGAAATTGTCATAAAAGCCCTTAAGTTTTCCAAAAAGTGACGGTTTTACCCTTGGATGAGTTTTGGGGGCATTAAAGCTGGATACTTTCATTAAACCTATCAAATATCTCATTTAACAAGTTGGACCCTTTGTAGCCGGTTACCATGTGCTGATTTGGCACTTAATTGACATGTCAAACAACGTGGGCCCCAACCCTCTCCCCACATAACCCTTCCCCACCCCCCTGTTTCTTGCATCCTCTCGCACCGCAATATCCCACGCAAAATATTCTCCCACGCAAAATGCCAACATCTTCTGCAAAATCAAGCTCGAATTCACATTCACGATTCAAGAAGAAGATCGAAGTGAAGTGTTGGTGTGAAGATTTATGCCCTGTGTTTGTTTCACGCACACCAGAAAATCCAGGCAAGAAATTTTGGGGGTGCCCTATTTATAAGGTAAAAATCATTTTCCCTTTTCTTTAGCAGGATTGCAGTAAGGGTATTATGCACTGACCTAATTATGTAGGGAGAAGGAGGTTGTGGGTTTTTCAGATGGGTTGACGATGAAGGAATTCAAAAGCAAGACATGATGCCAGAGTCAAATTGCATTACAGAGCAGCGACAAATGATGGCATTAATGCAGATGGTTGTTGTTTTGTTAGGGGCTATATTGTTCATCCTTGTTCTAGTGTTATGCAAGATTTAATGGCAATAAAGGGTGTTTTCTAAAGGGAGTAGTAAAGGGTGGCTTTTCTGAAGGGAGCAGTATTGTGATCTTGATGGTATTTGATAGTTTGTTAGGTATATGTAATGTTAGGATTGTAATTTGTAATGTGTGGATGCTAATTGCAATGTATGGATGTTAATTTCTAATGTATGGATGTTAATGGATGTTAATTTCTAATGTATGGATGTTAACTGGAATTCAAGTTGGTTTGCAATGTATGGATGTTAATTTCTAATGTATGGATGTTAACTGGAGTACAAGTTGGTTTGTTTTGTAAGTATATTGAATTAACAATTGGTAATTGGTATAAATTTCTGAATGGTAAGAACTGATGAATGGTAACATTTGGTTTGTTTTGTTTTAGATTGAATTAAAATGGTAATTGGTATAAATTTGTAGTACAAGTTGTTGAATGGTAAGATTTGGTGAATGGTAACAAGTGTTTTGGTGAATGGTAACAATTCTAAAAGACTGAACAATTGGTGTGTATTTGCAAGTTTGAATGGTAACAATTGGTGTGTATTTGCAAGTTTGAATAACATTGCATAAAATGGTATATTGCAGAAATAATTAGTGAATGGTAACAATTCTAAAAGATTGAACATAATATAGAAGGGAACATAATATAGAAGGGGGTGTATCCATTACATGTAGTTTAATTACATACTACCAATATGTAGCAGCCATCCATTTGTACCAAAATGCATAAACAATGCACAAAAAAGGCAACCTAAATGGTAAGAAAATTAACAATTTGATGCATGCTACAATCAAAATGCCAAAAAACAAAGTTTACAAAAGTGGCAACCTATACCATTCCCCCTGCACCCCCATCCCCCTTCTTGCTAACAAACTACTCCAAGTTGATTGGCTTTACAAAAGAAGAACCACCACCATCTTTGTTATAGACACCCTTCCTTAGCTTTATCTTGGTAATCCTCTCAGAAGTTTTCCTTGTTCTCCTCCTAACCATTGGGACAACCTGATGTCCTTCATCATCACCCTGGTTTTCCTCACCATCATCAACATCTCCACTACCATGACCTTCTTCATCACCATCACCTTCAGGCCCATCACCATCATCAACATATCCACCACCAGGACCTTCTTCATCACCATCACCAGCACCTTCATATCCAGCACCATGATCAGGTCCAACATCCAGACCAACATCATCATCCAGACCACCATCACCAGCAACTTCATCTCCAGCACCTTCAGCTCCACCATCCAGACCAACATCATCATCAGAATGATGACCGTCAATGAAATCATTTACATCCTAGTGTAAAAAGATATAATTAGGTCACAAGAATCACCAGAAAAATTGTTAATTAATAAAAGATAATAGGTCTTACCAGTTCAACTGGTGGGGAATCATCCAATTCCACTTGTACCCCTGGCATAGCTTCTATTTCTGCCATGCTATAACCAGCTTCTAGCATACTAGCAATTTCTTCAGGTCCTAAATGTATCTTCTCTGGGAGAATATCATCCTTTTTTCCCTCAGTAAACTCAATAAACTGATTATCTTCCACCTCATTGTCACCATTTAGTGGACTGGACTTTGTTTTGTTTGTGAAGTTAACCCCTTCTAAAATTGCATCAATACCTTGTTCAATTTCATCATTTATTGATTTAAGCTTCCTACCAATACTGGACCCTACTTGCCCAAAAGTGTCACTACCTTCCATCACACTTGCTTGACTACTTTCTCCTTCTTGCATCATATGACCATCTTGAATATGAATTGCTGGAACTTCCTGCACAACTGGAACTTGTTGAACCACACTTTGACCCACATTATCACCCATCACATTTTCACCCTCATCAACAACTGGAACTTGTTGAACCACACTCTCTTGAGTACCTATAGTTGCAGAACCAATCCTCCCACCACCTCTCCTTGTGCACAACTTCTTCCTTGGTACATCAGTACTATTTCTCATAAATCTTTTAGAACCTGCCTGTTGCTGATGTTTTCTGGGACTCATCCTCAACGTGTTATGTTTTCTTGGACTCCTCCTCACTGTGTTATAGCATGAAGGTTGACTTGAGACATTTGGTTGACCAGGGCTTGTAGACATATGGGGGATGAGATGTTTTCTTGGCCTTCCTGTCTTCTTTGGTGGGGGAGGCACATATTGTTTTCTCTCATTCTTACATGCCCTCTTGTTATGACCATATTCCAAACAATTACCACATCTGGTAGTTCTTGCAACCTTCACTTTTGTTGTTGAAAACTTGCTCTCCTTCTCACTGGCATGCCTCTTTCTTTTGGTAGCAGGCCTACCAGGCATCCTCCTAGACATTGGAGGCAATGGCTTAATGTATTCAGTTTGGGCCCAAAGATTGCTGTCATTAACAGGTTCAATGTTTGTTGAGTAACATTGCCTAAATTTCTCTTTAGAGAAGTATGCATTGATGTATGCATCTGGTGTTTGATGGATAAAATTAATTGCTGCATTTGCATGCACACAAGGGATGCCAGCCAAATCCCACAGCCTACATGAACATGTCATATCATCTAAGTCCACCCTATAACTGTCACACCCTCTTCTGGCCTCAAACACATGCCCTTGACTATGAATTATTCCCCAGAACCTACAATCAAGTATCTAGTTAGTAACAATAATTAATGATTAAGATAAGTTTTAGAAAGCATAAAATAGTACCTCATACTTTTCCCAAATCTATTCATTTTTTTCAAAATTTTTGGACAAACATTTGAATTCCACTTTTCACTTTCCACATTCATGTAAGCAAACCTGTCCATGATATAAATCTGTATCTCTTCAAGCATAGTGATCAAAGGTTTTTTCCTAGCATCCAATATTATCGAGTTGAAGCACTCTGAGATCCCATTCTCAACTGCTTCACATGCATAGCATGTTCCAAAATAGGCTCTACACCATGTTTCTGGTTGCTTTGACATCAAGTATTCATATACAAAAGGGCTCAATTTCTTGATGCTTTCCATATGCCTCTTGAAGTCACCTTCTGTGCAACTCATAGAGGCAGCCCAAAACAACTTCTTATACTCCACAACTGTGAAAGCCTTTCTAAAGTTGGCATAAATGTGCCTAGCACAATTCCTGTGTTCAACATGAGGCAGTATATCTTTCACAGATTCAAGCAGACCCTACCAGACAACCATTTAATTAGTTTAATAGAGGACAAATATGTAATAAGATAATTATGCAATCAAGTAGAGGACAAGTATGTTAAATTTTACCTTGTGTTGATCTGATATCACTACCAAACCTCTTCCACTATCAAGATCTAAATCATCCCTTAGAAGCTCAAGGAACCATGTCCAGTTAGCCTTATTCTCAACATCCACAACAGCCCAAGCAATTGGGTAGACCTGATTATTGGCATCTCTACCTATGGTTGTCAACAACTCACCCTTTACCGCTCCCTTCAGAAAGCACCCATCCAAACCAATAACTCTTCTACACCCTCTTTTCCAGCCTTCACATATAGCTTTGAAACCAATATAAAACCTATGAAAATAGTTTATCCCATCTGGATTGACAGTAACACACACCTTACATGTAGAACCTGGATTGGATCTTAACAACTCTTGTGCATAATCCCATATTCTGGCATAATGTTCAGTCAATTTACCTTTAATTAGCTCTTTGGCCCATTTCTTTGCCCTACGACATTGGCCTATAGACACAACACACCTAAACCTTTGTCTGATGTCAGTAATCATCTCTTTAAGCTTCACCTTAGGTTTATTTGCAATTTCAGTTATGTAGTGTCTACCTATCCATTCAGGAGTAACCATACAACCAAGTTTGAACTTCCTACCACAAACATGAGTAGCTTCTAAAGTCTTGATTTGAATAGATCTTTCATTGAACATCCATGAGGCATATAGTCTAAAAGGGCAACAATTATCCTCATTTCTTTTCCCACATCTTACAACTATTCTTGTACTGTCACACTTCTCAAAGTAGAGTTGATACCCATTGTGGACTGCGTAGTTTTGGATACAAAACTTCAGTTGTGTAACATTCTAAAAAATGTCACCAAGTTTTGGTTCCATTTTGTCCCATCTTGTTTTTGGATCATGTAATCTGTACTTGTTTATCACCTGTTCTTGCTCTTCTTCATCTTCATCACTTTGCAAGTCACCACGATGATACACTTGTGCTCTTACATCATTAGTCAAACTAGAGTTTCTAATATTTTCATCACTTAGTAACACATTAAGAAATGCATCCTTACACTTGTCCAGTGGAGTAATGAACTCTTCGTCTGGTTCATGATCCATGTAGATGCCATGAAGCTCAAAATCCATCTCATTAAGACCAGAGAAAGGCTTGCGTAAACCAAAAAATGGGTCTGTGTTACCTTCGTGTTCTGAATCCCAATCCATCATAACAACCTGAAAAAAACACAAACACATGTTGTCGTTATTCCTTAACCTTTGAAGAACAAAGAACTGTAATAACACAATCTTCAAAGAAATTACACATACCCTGTGAAATCGACTCTCTAATAACCTAATCTTCTTCAAAAACCATAAGCCCTAATTTTGAGATGAATGATATCGACTTTCTGAAGGATTCTGAGAAAGTGTACGTATATGTGCAAAAGGGTGAGATTAGTTGGTGGGTAAACGGACGTAACGGAGTAACGTCCGTTTTGACATGTCAATTAAGTGCCAAATCAGCACATGGTAACCGGCTACAAAGGGTCCAACTTGTTAAATGAGATATTTGATAGGTTTAATGAAAATATCCGGCTTTAATGCCCCCAAAATTCATCCAAGGGTAAAACCGTCACTTTTTGGAAAATTTAAGGGCTTTTATGACAATTTCCCTAAGGCTTTATGCCTTCCTAATTCCTTCAACCCCCAAAAACCTACTGTGAAGCATAATTTTTTTTTTTTATGGTTAAACACAATCAAAAGCAATATAATCTAAACAAAAAAAAACCCATTCCTATTTTACATTTATTAGCCCAAAAAAAAAAAAAACAACAAATTAAAAAACCATTATACCCGCCGAACCAGTTTTGAACCGCTTTTGAACCGGTTTTTGAACCGGTTTCAATCAAACCGAACCGGTTTACATATGTTCGGATTATTTTGGGGCTGGACCGGTTTGGAACCGAACCGGTTTCCGGGTGAACCGGTTTTGACTACGTTGACCAGAACTGAACCGGTTTTCTGAACCGGTCCGGTTCATAAAATAAACCGGTTTGTGCATGCCTACTTTAGGGGGTCATTTGTGTAGTAATATTAATATTTAGGGCAGATTGCGACTAGCGTATTTTATTATATTTATTAAAATAGGCAACATTTTTTTTACAATCATAGCAACGAACTTGAATTTATCCATTGATTTTAAACAATATGTAATCCTTATAAAGTTGTTGACGTGACATAGGTTATTACATCATATGTCATATATACAAACATGATGACATGAAATTTTTTAATTAGATGTTGCAAAATTTGAAAGACACAACAAAAACGTACTTATTTCTTTTTACCATTAAAGACAAAATAGTTGATCTTTTACCCTGAATAACGATCAACTTATATTCTTTGCCATCTAAAGGCAATTTGTAAGCTAGTTACATGTTATCTTTAAAGAATCTTCTCAGTTTTTTTTTTTTTTTTGCTTGTGATGTTAAGTAAAGCTAAAATGGCATGTAAATGATACACATCTGTTTATGGATCATTTGTAATCTTGTATGCTACATTTAGCTTACTAGCATCCATATAAACATAGAAAAGCAACTTGAAAAAGTTTCATATTAGTGTCATTTATATACCAAATACATGATTCAGTCCCATTCGAGACTCACCAAATCAGATAAATGGTTCTATCATAATTTATTAATCTTTTTTTTAGAAAGAAAAAAAAGCAACCAAATATAAAGGACATGTACAAAAGATCACACCATCTAATTATAAAAGCAAATAAAATGGCTGATTTTAATGCTAACACGTTTTATCACCTTATAATTTCCAATAAAAACACAAAAACGGCCTACTGTTTCTCAAGATTGTACAACAAATGGACAGTCTTAACTTGATGCCAAATTCAAGCATTCATGGAGGCCAACCACCATTTCCCTTGTGTTGAAAGCATTATTTGCATATGGGGAGCTCAATAGTCAATATATATATAGGCCATAATAGAGTCGTGAATTCATATATACATCATATTCACCATTTTTTTTTATGTCAACCTTCAAGAGGAACAGCAGTATCCAGCTTCACTTTATTTAATCTCACCGTTCCAAGAATATACTCTGGTAATTCTTTCTCCTCCCTTCCCTGCAATTTGTCAAAAAAAAAAGTTTTAATTAAACAGAACAGACTGTACTATGTTTGGCATGCATTGGACTGTACGACCAAAATGGCAAGTTTTTGTCCCACCCAAAAAGTAAAGAGATATTAGTTTCAATTAAACACAACAGATTTGTACTGTGTTTGACATTGCATTGGACAGGGACTAGTATCACTAGAGAAAAAAATGCAATTTTTTGTCCCATCCCAGAAAGGTGGGAAATCAATATCTTGTCTGCAAAAGACGTAAATGCCCTCCTAATCTTCATTATTAAAATGAAAGATTTTAGTTGACGTGTAAGGAAATGAGTAAAGACCTCAATTAAGATGGCAAGATCAACAACTAGGCTTGTTACATATCCAAGAACAATACCGATGACACTCCTTGCAACGGATGAAGAACCAATATCCACATCAATCTGCACAACATAACAAATAATTATAAACAAGTTGTAAAAACTATTCATTTTCAGACTAAAAGATCTCATCCCTTTTTTTCCTAAGATGCCCTCGATAAAAGACAATACAAGAATCATGTGGACCAAAATCAATGAATGATGTTAGTTATCTTGTAAATGACCAACAAGGGCAAATAAGCGAACATTGATACGAGTATGACCATGCACGATGCATAACTAGGTGTATTTTCGATGTTGAGGATAAGAAGGGCATTTAGGTCTTTTTAACAAATGCAAAAAAAAAGTAAGTAGAAACCTCCAAAAAATTGTCTTGTCTTAAATAGTTACAAGTTACGGCTTTTCCCAATAGGCAAGCTTTTGTCCCGACTGCACGTTTCACCATCCAATATCCCTGTCATGTCAAGTGTCAACAACCACTTTCTTCTTCAATATCATATCAACACAGAATATGATGAAAATAATATAGGCCTAAATGCAAGAAATAACAATCTACTTTCATTCATCTGTAATCTGTTCATTCTAGCATCTTACTTTCATTTCTTTCTATTACACCATTGTACTTCTAAATTTTCCCTTATTAAGAAGTCACCTAATAATAGCATACATAGCATTGTAGTGTGAACTTTTTTTCTTTATAGGACATCCTACTTTCATTTTATTTTATTTTTTTCTTATTAAAAAACTGTACCTTAAGAAATCTAGCATTGTATTTTTAATTATTTTTCTTATAAGGACATTATACTTTGAATACTTTCATTGACTTGGTTATTATAGCTAGCATCCTACTTTCTACTACATTATAATTCCAATAAAAATCTTATCAAGGCATTGTATTTGTACCTTAAGAAATCTACCGAATTATAGCATCCTACTTCCTAGTTTTTTTTTCCTTATTAATTCATTATACTTATAAAAATCTACCATTGAAAATTGTTTTTTATTTGGATGAGATTGCTATAACTGGTAGATTTTTCCAAGTGCATGTTGTAATAGGATTGAACTGAAAGTAGGATGCTATAAAAGAATATAATAAACAAATCAATGGAAATACACTGCTGATTCTTGCATTTAACCGAATAAAATACCTGTACAATGCTTGGAATCAATTTGAATCTTGAATCACGAAATGCATCATTTCCATCAATAAATTTACCCAACAATGACCCCTTAGTTACAGGCCTATCTGCAGCATAATACATAACTAGGCTGTAGTTTGGTTTTGATGGAACCTACACCAAGATAACAATATATATTTAGAGGACAATATTTTTTCCATTTTAAAATAAAAATTTTAAAAACAGTTAGTTAATGCATATACCTGCAGGTTGACTACAAGGATGAATGGAAGTTTTTTTCCAGCTTCTGACTGTAAAATGAAAATGAGTTAGAATTATGGAAAATATAATATGGAAAGTATGTTGCTATTATGGGTAAAAAAAATCATACTAGTATCTTGATATTATGGGTATAAAATGTTGCTTTATATTGGTAAAAAGATTAAACTACATTGGTATTTCTTGCAATTTGCTCAATGTAATGATAGCAAGAAACTTTTGAGTACCTGTACAAGGCTTTTGGGATGCAAAGCCACTTTACTTCTGGAAGTTTCTAGTTTATACCAGTCAACTGCTATAAGCTTCAAAAGGGGATCCCCTCCTGCTACCTGAATTTATAAATTAAAAAATCCTTAAAAGCATGAAACCAAATTCACATATGGAGTAATGTAATATGAAAAATTGTTAGCATTATAAAAGATTTATTACTAACGTTACAGCAACCATGTGATGCAAGATGATTAGGTTGTAAAAGTTCTTAAATATACAGTCATTTGTTATTTACTAATTTAGCACCACTTTTAGACAGAAGGGTAAAATTGTCATTTACATATATGGTTGTTTCAGATGGTTCATCTTAAAAAAGAAACTCTTTCTCATTAAGTCCCAACTTTTTATAAATTTGTCCTCATTTACTTTTTCTTTTCATTTCCACAAGTGTGTCATCATTTCCTCAGAAAGTAAAATGACCTTAGTTGCCTTCAATGTTGTTAAATTGCTTTAAATTTTGTTTTTTACTACTTTGCTATAAATAAAAAAAATATTACCTTAGTACTATCTTTCATATATGTCTTCCCTCTAATCTTAAAACCAGCACCACTTGGAGATGTCCAACAATTTGCATCAGACTCACTTTTCCCTTTGTGCATTGATCCATGGAACAAACTAGAATCAAGATTAACTGGTTCCACATTTGGATCTAACTCATGGCTTCCATCCATAGCTGTTTAGATTTTAACAAAAAATGTATAAATTAAGCACAATTAAGAAAATTTAAAGACTTTGAAAAAGGCTAAAAAGTTACCTTTCTTTGCTGTTAGAGCCAATCGGGCAATAGCCCATGAAACATTCTTTAGCTTCACTCTTTGGCCCTATTAAAGAAGAATATTACACAAAGAAATAAGTATAATTTGGGGTTATTATAGATAAGATAAACAAATACTTTTTCCAATTTTATATAAGAATTAAGAGGGTTCACCATTTTAATATTGATTGTCCATAGCTTTTAAAACGTATGGATCCCTAAAATTTTCAAGATCATGCATATAATATTACTAAAGATGAAAGACGCAACAAACCTTGCTATCAAGTTGAGTGTTCTCATCATCTTCATCATCTGAAGATGATGATGATGATGAATCAGCAGCAATTGCATCATAAAACTCTTCAGCAACTTCAGCATCTTCAAACTCACTAATGGATCCTGAAACATCAGAGCCTTTTGAAGCCACAAGTGTTGTTGATGATTCTGATGTAAGTCCAGGACTTGCCCCAATATACGCCTTTAAACCTAAAACAATTCATCATAAATTTATTAAATTGCACTTCAATTGCCAACCTAATCTAAAACTAAGACTGAAGGTCAATCCAAGTTGACCATTCACTCAGTTTGACAAAGGCATGAATTATAAAGACAACCTTATTACAAAAAGGTCAGATTCTAAAGTACTATCATCATCAAACATCAAATCTACTAAACTGACAATTGGAATAATAATAATATGAAGCATAAACTAACCTGAAACTTGGTTCAACAAGGCAAAAGGAATCGAATTTTCAAATTTTGAGCCTTGACCACATTTCCATTTAAACCAGCCTCTTGAATCTATCTCTAACATATGTGTTACAAGACATCTATCACCATGTGATCCCACTGAAGCTCTTAGATTCCTGATCTCCCATGAAGAAGCTATCAAAAAAACAAGAAGTAGGTTGCCATGTTATTATCATAAAACAAAAAAAGTATTCAAATTTCAAGGGAAAAAAAAAAAGATTTTCTTACGATTAATCTTTATTCGTTGATGTCGAGATTTTGGAGGATGCTTCTTATGCATTGCAGGAAACTGCAAGATTGCTGCATCATAGGTTCATTCAATAGTTAAAAGAGAATCATTTTCATATTCCCAATATCTAACTTGTATTGAGAAATAATAGGCAACATAGAAAGGGAGGGTATATAGGTAAATTTACTTACTATATGTTCCATCTTGCCCACGAAACCATTGTCTAGAGAATATGAAATCGCGCTTAGACTGCCATCTATAAGAATAGCACATCAGTTTTCGACTGATGAGAGATGACAAAAGAGATGAGTTAAAGGCTAAAATATATATATAAAACAATATTAATATAAGAACTGATTCTTTTTATCATTTTATCAGTATCCCATGATAATGAAATGCTACATTCAGAAATTCTTTTTTTTTTTTTTAAAATCAATTGGAGAGCGACCCACCTAGTTAAGCATTTGGAATCATAAGATCCATAAACAACATCAGAATGACCGCTTAAAGAATCTACAAGCTCTAAATCACCAGTCAATGCATCCCACCTGAAAATTTAAATTTTTAGTAACACAAAAAAGAATTTATAACCCAAAAAAAAAAACACATAAATTTATCAACATACTCATATCTTCTATGTCTATCAACGTTCAAAACCACCTCAAAAACAGTATCTGGACTTGCATCCACAACACCAACAGCCTTCACAAGTACAGTTTTGCTGCGCGACTAACATTTATATAAAAAATAATCAATACATATATTTAATTTTCATATTTGAATTCATGTATCTGTATAAATATATAATCAAGGTAATATATATGGGATAAAATACTCATAAATTTATCACCTTGTTGTCAGACACATCCTCAAAGAGTCTGACACCTGAAATTCAATATATGATCACAGAATCTAATTTAATTCCATATAGCATATAAAAACAATGTAAGGGCAAAATGGGGATTTAAAAAGATTGTACCATTGATTGTACGAACACATCTCCACTCATGTGCTTCAATGACATCTGCAGCATCACCTTCCATGAACTCATTAGACCTTTGATGTCTACCCAAGTTTGATGATCTTCTCACAAGTGACTCTGGACCTATAAACAAAGAGAAAATCATAGATTCTTTATGATGAAAAGTATTTTAAAAGATTTATAAATATCTGGAAATAGTATGTTTAGTATCTTACCATGTCCTATTCTTATAAGCTTTTTTAGATCATGTGCATATTTCCTTACCCTTGGGCGACGCCCTTCAAGATCAATCCTTCCAATTAACAAATATTACAATGAGACCAAAAAAAAACTTGGGTATAAAAATATATGCAACAAAGTTTCAATGCTAATAACAAAGGTGATTTTTGGAGTGACAACTTTGTGAAATTACATAATGTTTTTAGCAATTTTATAAGATATGATTCAAGAGGCAGCATACTCGTTCTCCATGTTCAATCTGTGTCTGGTGGAACTTTGAGAAAGCTCAAACTCAGCCTGATAATTGTAGTTCAAGGAAAGATACATATAAGAAAGATAGGAAAAGAAAAACATGTGTAAAAAAACGAGTTAAGTAATAAAGATTGCAATTCTCTCTACCTGTTGTTTTGCTTGATCAAATGCTTCCATCCATTTTCGGGTTTCTCCTGCTGTAGCACAAGCAATCTTGCAATACGTAATAAGAAAAATAAAATGACAAAACAATCGGATAAATGATTGGTAACATATGTACATAAATACCAGAAAATAATCAAATATCACTTACTTCTCCTTTCTTCTCTTCATCTAGTCGGTTGTAAAACCTTAGAACATAAAGATCCTAGAAAATATGAAAATAATCAAGCAAAGTAAGTCAATAACCTTTTGAATGTGTTTAGGAAATGAATTAAGTTTGATATTTAGACCTAAGTGTTTGCTTTGAAAACATCTACTAATGTTCAAGTAATTACAATAAATGGAGCTTGTTTGAGGTTCTTACACCATCATTGACCTTTTTTCGTCCTAGCTCCTCCACCATAAGTGTGTTCCCGGCAACACCCCTCCTTAGTGGTTTCTGCATCGAGCATACTATGATTAAACCCTAGTGATTGATGAATTTCCAAATGTTCCCCAAAACAAAACAGAAGGTAGATAGCAATATGTGTGCTTTCAGAGAGAAAATATGCTGTAACTTGCAAGCAAAGGAATGAATCACTACAAGTTTATACCCTTGTGATGATTGATGTAAGAGCGTTAAATTATACCTTGTTCACTTCGTTGATCATGCAATTGTAGAATTGCATGTATTTAGATTAAGATGTAAAAGAGGAATCAAACTGGGGGTGAATTTGAAATTGAAACTTACAATGCCAGGGTTTTCATGAGGATCGCGTTTATACATCATCACGTATTTCCCACGAATATAGAGAAATCGAAGATGACAAAACTCGCGCCCAATTGAATTGGTGCCCAAATGATAAACCCATCCGAAGTATTCGAACCTCGTCCGACTACACCCCTTCTCCTCCGCCCCACTCTCCGATCCTCCGCTTTCCGAAGACCCGCCTCCTTGACCTATCTTCTTCATCGACGGCGGCGATTCCATTTCCTTCTCTCTCCGACCAGAAATTTTGTGGGTTTTTGAGATCAAAAATTCAATTACAAGAGCGAGAGAGTATAACCCTTTTTGGATTTTATGGGTCAATGAAAACGGAGTAGAACGCTTATGGTTGTTGTTGTTGTTGATGGTGATTCTCTTGGGATTCTGGGTAGAGACTGGAAGATGAAGAAATGATGAAATGCCAGTTGGAAGATGGAGTTACATTCAAACTTAATGCGATCATTTTGACAGCTTGGGGATTTTAGGAGGTCTGATTTGAAAATTTGTAAATCTGATATCAAGAATTTGCCGACTACTGGATTAAAGTTTTGATTAGAGAATCAATATTTTTCCAATTTCCATCTGTCTTTGTTTAAATATGTAAAGGAGAAAGCAATGAAAATAATGATATCCTACTTTTTGACATGACATTGTTCCTAATAATATAAAAAGTGGTTGGATTCCTTTTAAAATACTTAAAGTAAAATATTATATTCGAGTGCTGTTAATGAAAAAACAAACAAAATCTTAATGTGTCGTGCACGTGTTTTGCTTAGTATAAAACGATCATAAGAACAAGGGTAATGTCATACAACAATTCTAATGTGCTCATCTAGTCATTATCATATCACGAAAATGAGAGTTGTTAGAAACAACCAAAACTGAATTATCCACCCGAACAAAATGAATATTGAGTTATGTTTGGTTAATTGAATAGCAATGAGCATATTTCGTGTGATTTCAATTGATTTTTCAATATTCTAGGTAACCCGGATAATCAATTAGATTAATATGTTTACATTTTATTTTTATAGTTATTTAATCTAGTTTGTAATAATGGTAATATATACACTATAAGATGTGAAAGTAGGTATGAAATTTACTTTATAAGTTGTCAAATATTAATACATTTTAAAAAGCGGTAAACATAGGTATAGAACTTTACTTTGCAAAAAAAATAATAATAATAATAAATAAATTATTTCTATATTTACGAATAAGCTATTATAATTGATGCATATTTTGGTAGAATTGGTTTATTCTACGTTTGGTTTATCTAAGAAAATTGTAAATTTTAAATTGCATTTGGTTTACCCAGCTAACCAAATTGAATAACTCGAAACTGATTAAAGTAAACATTAGTTGGTTCGGTTGTAGTTAGTTTGAAGAGTTGAAACTGACTAAACGATCGGGTATCTGTAGCGCCCGCAGATTCGGGTTAGTCAATTTATAGACGATAAGCGTAAAAAAATGACTTTTTTTATAGATGATTATTTAGAATAAATAATCTTAACTAAGTTGTAGTATATGTTACAAGGTTTCTGTACATATAAAGAACACCGAAATCCGAGTTATAACGAAGAAGTTATGACTTGTCGAAGTTTCGCGACAAAATCGGCACGACCCCGAGAATCGTAAAAAGTGAGTTTACGATAAAGTACTTTTTAGCCTTAGGGGTCTAAATGAAAGTTTTAGAGTACGTCTTCACCTTTGCGTGGATATAAAGAACGTCAAAAACGGAGCTCGTATGCAAAAGTTATGGGCTTTCGAAGATGTAGTTGTCTGAGAGCATGACACGTGTCAGAAACCCTAATTTGACTGAGCTCACGACGTGAGCATATAAATTCACGACGTGAGGAGTCAAAACGCCACTTTTCAAGGCTAGAATGCAGATGGCAAGTCTACGTTTAAGGCTCACGACGTGAGGAGTCAAACGGACACTAATCGAGCCTAGAAAACACTTGGGAAGTCTACCAGATGACTCATGGAAGCTCACGACGTGAGCATGTGAGGCTCACGACGTGAGAGAGCCAAAATCAGTCTATAGATAGCAAATTCGACCATTTCATTCTTTACACCAAAACCTTTTTCCTCTCTCTCATTTGCTGAAGCCATTTCCACGTCCCGAGCCCAACGATCACGAACCGCTAACCGTTTCTAGTTTTATTCTAATCAAATCACGCTACTAATGTGAGTGCATGGTCCCTTTCATCTTACACATAGATATGAAGTATGTAATATAAATTACGTGTTATGTGTGCATATTATATGTATGTTTGCCATCTATGCTGGATGAACAATTTTATACATGTTTTAAATGATTTAAATTGTATATGTATTTTATATCTACAAATATGTTGGGTAAAACATGGGTAGATGAATTAGATGATGTGTGATGAAATAAAAATTGGTGAGAGGTCTCGATGTTTAAGATGATAGTTGTCTTCAAGAGAAATAATATGGATCAATCATATAATTTTTTCATAATTATATTGAACGAATGGTAATATTCTTTAGAGGATACAATATGGGCCATTAGCGACGTAGAAGTGGCTACGTGGCATCTCCATAACGCTGTCGTAACACCATGAACACCGCCCCAAAATATGTTATGGTATAAGATGTGGTAACGACAACATACCTCAACGGGAGAAAACAACCAATCACCATTTTCTCTTTCTTCTCTATCTTTCTCTCTATACCTTTTAACATGTTATAACATTTCAACACAACCTCTATTTCTAGCAGGGCCGACCCAAGGGGTGTTCAAGATGTGCTTATGAACAGGGCTCCCTTGGAATCTAGGGCCCAAAATATTATTCAGATTTTGTATTAGGTTTTGTTCATTAGGTTACAGAACGTATGATGGGGAGAAAGGAAACGACGTGCAGCGGGAAACAAAAATCAAATGAGTGGGAATCAGAAATTATTTGGGAAAAGGAATCGACACTTTGGTTCTTGCTGATAGTTATTACGATTTTGGCATGGGAAACAAACCATAATCCTCCAAAATCAGAAGGTAATCACCCAATCAGAAGGTTCCAATTCACACTTCTTTCTTCTTACTTCTTACTTCATGAATCTTAAAAATCAGTGGATCATAAAACAAGGATCGAGGCTTCGAAATTCTGAAGCAAACTGAAATTAGGAGCGAGGTTTCGAAAATCAGATGTCGGGATGGGGTATAGGGACGAAAATCAGAAGGTATTACACATTTTTTTTTATCTATATGATATATTTCTGATGTTGTTTAGAAGTAATCAGTTTTTCTCATTCTTTCCGGTTTGTGTCTTCTCGAATTCTGAAGCATTGAAGCACAAATTTGTCGACTTCCAATCCAGATTGTCTTGAATGGGCGAAAATAAAAAGTTATTATACATATGATATATTTATGATATTATTTAAAAGTAAATCCGTTTTTTTTTTCATTATTTCTGATATATATTTTCTTGAATTTAGAAGTGTTGAAGCAACAATCTGTTGAGTTTTCATCCAACTTTGAGGTTTAGAAGTTTTTGGCTTTCAGATTTTTTTAAGTGTCGAAACTAGAAGGTAATTTTTTGATTTCTGATTTTTATCATAAGCAAATTAGAGTTTTTACATCTATTTTATATAGAGTAATGTTGATTGTTCCTATTAGTTTGTAATTGAGGATAGAAAGTGAGAAGAGTTATATGTGTTGATTGTTTTTACATTTATTACATATAGAGTAATGTTGACTATTCCTATTATTTTTGTATTTGTAGAAATGAGGTTTTCCAATTGGAAGATATTGAAGTGTATTTACGATATATAGTGATTCAAAACCGATTTAATAGATTGATTTTGATGACGAGACTTAATGGATTGGTTATGATGATTGAAAACAACCTTTTGGAAAAGGTTATTTATGAAGATATCATTGAAAAATTTGTTTAAACTAATATTAGAAGAATGGTTGTTTCCAAGTATAATTTTTTTTTATTACTTTGAATGAAGTTTTAATTTATGTATATTGTAATAGAATATAAAAGTTATAATTTCTTCGTTTAAATTTTTAGATTTTTTAAGTTTTAGGGCCTAATATTTATTAAATTGCACATGGCCTTCCAAATCTCGCGGCCGGTCCTGATTTCTAGTTATGATATTAACAGTGTGACGTGACATGTGAGATGATAATTTTGTAGTATTATAACACCAACCCATACCTAGTAGTCTTAGTAGAATATTCAATGTTATAACGTGGGAAAGTGTATCAGCTTATGTCTTGCTTGCATTAAAAAAGCATTGTAGTCTTTGCCGTGTTGTCTGACTAAGGAGTTTTCAATATTATTTAAAAGTTATGTGTCATTTAACACTAAAAACGAATTAGAATTCCTACCAAACCAACCACTCGCTATGAGTCATTATGGTGGTTATGGCCACATCACTCATTTTTGTATCTACAAATTCTTATCCAGTTTCGTATTTATATGTCATTTATAAAAAAAATATATATATATATATATATATATATACAAAATCTAGTTCTACTATCGTGATCAAATTCCACTAAACCATCTTTAACCACACACAATCCGTGTCAAATAAACATAGACGATTAACAAAATACAACATAATAATAACTTCATCTAGGGATTGAGTATTCAAGTTAGAAATCTTATAGAAAAGGAAGTCATTTATTCCAATACTTGAATGCAGATTTCAACAAGTATCATGCAATGAGCAACCTTTTGGGATTGTAAAAAAAAAGTCTTTTAAGTTTGAAGGGTTATAATATTTTGTTGATTCAATTGTGTATCATAAGTTTAGCTTGACAAATATATTCATCTTTTTTTTTCTCCCTCTCTCTCTCTAATTAGAGTTTAAAGAAATTGTTTTGGTTGGAAACATGACTTGTAACACAATATATGTAAACATATCGGTTTAAAATATCATGTGTTCGATAATAGCATAAACATATGGAAACATCTACTATATACTATATTATCTGTTTTGTAGGATTTGCTTTTGAGCCAAGTTGTATATCATCAACCCGCTCACAATCATTGGATATGAAAAATGTTAAAGCCCAAAGCAAAAATGCACTTCAAATAATTTTTGATCCATTTTATTATTTCCATGTTTAGCTAAGTTATTGATTTCACTCATCATAAAATAAACATAATTTAAATACTCATCATAAATAAAAGTCCCTAAACACTGGCGGACCCATGTGTATGGACTATCCCTCAAATTTTTGGGTGCAGTTAAAATTTCTTGAATTTTTTTCGACACGGTGTAATTTTTCCAACCTGCTACCTGTAAAATCGTGTGTGTTACCCCTGATATTTTGTTCAGGTCCACCACTTTCCTTATGTAAATTTAGGTCAAAACAATCTTTTAAGCGATGTACCAAAATTTGATGTAAGGAGGGGAGTATAACATAATATCGTGTTCCACCCGTGTTTAATGGTCTTCTTAATCTAGCAAGCTACCTGTGAGAGGAACCAAGTTGGGGAAGGGACCATTGGTGGGAAAGATTTTCTTAGAAACATAAAGTGTAGGTTGACTATTTATTTACTTAATGTGTCCCCCTTTCTTGAAAACCATGGATATCAATTATAATTATTACTTTCTATTTAGCAACTCAAGGTCAGAGATTTGATTTACCCAAAACCATAAAAGAGAAAATAAACTACACAATACAAATATACCTATTGAATATATAAATAATTTGTTTGGAACGTTGAAGATTTTATAAACATATTAGCAAGATATTACAAAAAATGCAATAGAAAGGTTGGTTGACAACCCAATTAATTAACCTTCAACTTAGTAATTATATTAATAAACCAAAAAAAAGAATTGGATCGTTTTCCATGGGTTTTCCCCTTCACAAGATCCAAACATTGCTAAAGGAGATCACCCCAAACGTAACGAGAAAAATTGCATCAAGCATAACAGTCAGCATGACCGGTCTTGAGGATTTAAATATCCTCAAATGCCCTAGACAAGCCAGAAAAAAAGGGTCCTTATAGTTATTATAAACTTTTTATTTTTAAATAAATATATACTACATATATAACATAATAAAAAAATTTGGCCCCAAAAAAATTTAGGCCCTGTACAGCTGCCCACTTTGTTCCTTCCTCCGCACCGTTGGAATTATCAATCCAAAGAGAACAAATCAAAAGCTTTAGTGAAATAGGGGAGATCAATGTTCAACCATCGACTAATAAAACTTTAAGTTCAGACCACAATAGGGTAATAAATAACTAAACGACCAACCATTTCAACATGAAGCTCATGATTTACAAAAATAATAGATTTTTGGGAAATGGTTGCATTCGAGGAGGAGGCCTTCTCTTAAATGTTGAAAACGATGGTATCATGTCACATCATCTTTTTTACATGTGAAACTTGAAAAAAAAAATTAATACCCTTTTTAACAAGTCAAACGGGATTGTATGCCTCTAGACTCTAGAGTGCTAAAAATAACATTGAGGATCTTTCAAACCAAAAAAAAAAAAGTTGGTTGGACTATAGTGATATTAATTCTTGCGATTTAAAATTTTTTATTGTGATTTTTTGTTGATTTTATGTGATGATTATAGAATTGAAGGGAATAAGAATTTCTATTTATTTTAATTTTTTGGATAGCATCAATTGGAAATTGAGGATTTGATGAATGTTTGCTGGTTTTTTTGAATATGATCGATCCTAATCGAGAATCAAAATGAATGGAAATTGGAAAAGCAAAGCTAACAAAAACGTGACATGACATACAAAACTATTCTTCCGTCCGGCTAGAAACATTTTGGGCCTACAACTACTCCAATGTACCATAGCTACTTTGTAAGCCCAAAACAATAACTTACTAAACCTTAACCTACTTAATGTGTGTTGTATCTTTTCAGCCCAATAGATCCAAAAGGCCCATTAAAAGTAGTCCATCACTGCTGTCCAAGTCTTCAACTCTCCCAAGAGGAAAAAGAGAAAAAACAAAAAACAAAAGCAGTGTATTTGATTTTGAATACGCAGTTATGCACACACATACATAGGTTTTTCTTCGTTTCTATTTTTTTCCCTTTATTTCTGGAAGATCCTCATGATCAATTTAAGGTTTAGATCATGCATTATTATACATATATTCCTCTAAATTTGATTTAGGTTATGGATTAGATTAAATTCAATGCTTAGACTAGACCAGATTAGATTTTTTGCATTCTGGTTTGAGCAATCTGGATTGATGATTAATTTCGGCTTCTAAATCTTCACCGAATAAGTAAATTTTATCATTCGCCTTTATTGTTATTAGGTTATTTTTTTTTATTTAGCTTGAGGGTCCGAATGAAACTTCGTATTATGGAAGTAATGGATTTTTAACATGAAAATCTTATTCACCTCGAAAGAGGATTTAAGTATAAACGGTGCTAGAAAAATAATACAATGACCATTAGAAAAAATAACAAAATCGGTGTGAATAAAAAACTATTAATGGCGACGTCACTGCTAAAGACAATAATAGCGACAATTTTGAGTATTATTGGTGACAACCGTCACATCTACTGCTCTTAAATTTTTTGTGTTGTACAATAATTATTATTATAAATGTAAGATCAAATTAGATAACTAATTTTACTAAGAAAAAATATAGTTAAATAATATATTATGAGGTTAGTATAAGTGTATAAGAATCAAAATTGAATACATGTTTTAATATATAAAAGTTTTTTATAAATAATAAAAGGTATATTTGAAAAAAAAATTAAAAAAACTGTATAAATTTGTTGAGATATTAGCCCAAGTAACTTTGTTAAATTTAACAATCGCTCAAAAGATAAGATATACTAATTCAGCCACGACTTCCCATTACAAGAAAATATCAAGCATCAATCTTTATTTAATATATGCCGCGTACAAACATGTCTACTTTGGAAGCCTACGTTTATTCATACGTATGCATACAAACAAACACAACTACACACATACATATATAACATTATACATATGCATCAATATAAAAACTATTTATTCATTGACATTCTATGGATTTAGCAGAAGCTTTGATGATGTGAAATGATTCTTGAAGATCATCACACAACTGATGAGGGTTTGGTATGGTTTCTTTATCAGCAGATATCACGAATGTTACTTTGTCCATGTAACTCACCACATGAATCATGAGTGCCTGTAATAATTAATTTTTGTTAAAACATTAAACATGTAATTAATATTGAGTTTGGATTTTGCCAAAATTAAATTGATATGTGAGATGTTACATTTGGTTGGCCGTAACAACTGGGAGCCAGGTATGCTACTTTATGCCCAAAAAAAGAGATTTCTTCTTGTGGTCCAGGAACATTGGAGAACCATAGTGTTGTGTTATAGAAAACTTTATGATTTTAGTTTTCCTGCCACCTGTCATTATTAGAACGAAAGTTAATGATAATTCATCAACAATTACATTTTATTCTATGAAAGTTATCACCTACGTTTTGAGTTGTATATCTCATGAAAAGTTAATTGCGCCATATTTTATTTTCAAAAATGGTCATCGTAATTGTTATATATAATAAATTATCGATCTGAACACATTGGTTGAAAAGATTGCTCTGCATACATAATCATTGATAACTAATCAAACATTAATCTGACAACTTCCTGTCACTCATTTTAAGGAAAGTAGATTTAGCAAATGTTTGTAATATTCAGCAAGTAGATTTAGAGTAGCACTTACATGTATGGTAAGATTCTACTTTCTCAGGCCCGGCCCAATTTGTTTTCCTATTAATATATAGTGGTAAGTTGGGTCATTGTGCCGGGCCTCGCAACCGGCCCTAAAATTAAGTTTGGTTATACATTTAATATATTATTTTCCTATTAAAATAATTAGGTTTGGACCGTCCGCGCGATGCTGCGGAAACCTAGTATGTTAAAAACACAATTCAACATGGATAAGGTTTTTCGGAGAAATTTCTGCGTATTGCGGCGGAGAACTTCTTTTCAAAGTGAATCATAAAAATATAAAATAAGGTTTAAAAGCAAACAATTATGTATGGATGACGCATACAAAATAAAATTTAAAAATGTATTTTAAACGTATTAACTAACCTTTAAATAAAAACATAATATTAGTAAAAATGAAAACTATAAAAACAATTATGTAAGGAACCAAAAACGTAACTTAAAATTACCAATAATTTAAGTTTAAAATTACGAAGGGTAAAATGTGTTTAATCAAAATTATTTTAGGGTAGAAAATGTAAATGTAAGAATCTTTTATTACCAGAAGCAAATTTGTTATTTTTAGGAAAATGTTTATTTTAGAGCTTGTATTATATTCTGTAAGAGTTGTAAATTTGATATGGATTTAGTTGGTTTTGATCTGACATTAGTAAAAGCAAAGGAAGTGAGTACAACCGTTGGTTAAGAAAAAGAAAGAAGAAAGAATTGAAAAGCAAAAGGAAATCGAACGGCTAGAATGAAAAGTTGAAATGAATAGTAAAACTCTTCACATACCAACTTTGGTAATTAATATATATATAATAAGCAAATATATCTTTATGAAATGGAAAGACGCCTTACATTAATTTAAATGAGTTTTCTGAGTTCGTTTTTGTGTTATGGAATTTTTTAAGATAATACCCCAAAATTATAAAAATAATGGACGTTCTCATTTAATTGATATAATAATTAAACAAGAATAGTACTTTAAGTATTAAGATATGCCGATGTAGAAATAAAGAAGAAAAATATAATTTCTTAATAAAAAAAATTGTCTGCTTAATCCAAATTTTTTGGCTCAATTATTTTTTTTTCAAACTTTTGTACAACTTTTTATATGAAAGTCTCACATTTTTTACATTTTGACTGTTAAAAATCTTAAATTATTTTTTGTACATTTAATCAAAACAAATTGGAGATTAACTTTGGTGTTAAAAATCTTAAATTATTTTTTGTACATTTAATCAAAACAAATTGGAGATTAACTTTGGTTTACTGGTCAATAAAAAAACATTTAATCAAAACAAATAGTGGAAGGTTTTTAATAGTTAAAAAGTTTATGCTTGGACCGACCGTCCTTTACTTTATTAATATGCATAAATTAAAGAGAAATGAAATGAAAGACAAAATGACAAAATAAAAATTATTTATTTGCGACGTATGAATGGAATGAATAATTGTGTATTGTTTCTGTTCGGTTGATTTTTTTAGAAGAAATGTTGTTTTCTCATTATTTCATGGAATAGAGTGATATACTATAAGCTACAACTTATAAAGTTTTCAAAACATTGAGTAGATTATATTTATTATCCTCCAAAAATAACTAAAATTATTTATTTTTGTTATTATTATATCTAAAATTTCATGATATATATATATATATATTATATATATATATATATATATATATATATATATATATATATAATATATATATATATTATATATCTATATATATATATATATATATATATATAAACTACTTTTTTAGGTGACATTTTTGTTACTTTTTAATGCATATATTATTATAATATATATTTCAAACCTTATAACCCTATTTTATTAAACTTAATATTTTACACATACATTTTTTTACTTTTTTTTTCAACGACAATATATTAGAAACAAACCAATAGGAAACCGGACCAAAACAAGGAGTTTGAACAATTTTTTTGTCTTACTTTTAAATTTTATTTTATTTTATTTTATAGATATACATGAAAACATGCTTAGTAACTTATTTTATTTTCATTTAAAATGAATAGTAAAGCTATATTGGAAACTATTATCTACACGAACTAGTGGTCCGTATCAAAATTTCATAAATAAGTGTATGTTTGATCAATCGAAGCCTAGACAAGATAGATTATTGATGATATTGCTATTTTTTCTTTTAATTGGATGATGCATCAGAAACATAATTTCTCTATTCTGTGTAATTTATGGCTTAAAAATCACATTCTGAACTTTATGATGTAATTTTTCGTTTCGCCTTTAGCTTCTTTCTGAGGCTTTTTTGATTCTTTATAAAACTCAAAATAGTATTGAATGTGATTATCAATTCCATTAGCTTATTTATTGTCACTTTCATTGGTTTATAAATTTATTCCGTCGTAACAAATATCTATTTAGAGTTTTTGGTATCCATTTCTTAAAAGTAGAGAATCAATATACAACATACCTTATAAATAGGCCAAAGCACAATAATAATGCAATAAGGTCAAATCTTTAAAACATGATAGGAAGTATATAAGTACCTTAATGCCAAAAAACTTATGAACTAAGTTAGCAAAGGAATAAGTGAAGAGGGGCTCCAAAGAAGCTTTCTTGCGATCCATGATGGCCTTTGCATCTCTTATATAATCTAGAGGGTCTTTTCTCAATGCGATCTTGAATGGAAGTAATGAATAACCTATCTTGTTTCCCCATGTTCCATGTTTACTCGTATCAGTGAAATCCTAGTCGTATATAACCAAATGATCAACAATCATTAAAAATAGTTGTATAGAAAAATAATATATTCACAAATTAGGATGCATGCACATGGATAATGAGGGCATACTCACTTCAATCGTAGTACTGGTTCGAAGGTTGAAGAAGACAGTTGCACGAAGGCGAATGTCATGAGGAACATCTACATTATTACCATCTGTCTCACCTGTCACAAAATGTCATGTTAATCTGGTGTAATCTTAAGTTGATATAGTACGTTCACATATTATGCATGTATGTATGAAGTGTGTGTGTGTGTGTGTATATATATATATATATATATATATATATATATATATATATATATTGGAAGTCCATTGTAGAGAAACTTACTATATCGCCTATGTAGGTAGCGATACAATCCAGCTTGTGTGGCTCCAAGGACTACGTCATTCAATGTCTACAAAGATAGACCAATATATCTCTAAGGATCATAGAATTATTATATATATAAACTCTAATGAAGTATAAATTTAGAGTAAAATGATGTAAATGTTTAATACCATAACTACGTTGCAGATATTAGAGATAAATCTAACTAGGTACATGATAGGGAGAAATTCTAATGAAGATTTTTGAAAGAAACATTAATTGTATAAAGATGTGTTTTTTTGGTATGTTAAGACATGAGAAAGAAATTAAGTAAGAAACTGACCGCATTCATAGCTCTTTTTACGAATTTAATATCATCAAGGCTAACACTTCTAATCACGAAACGTCGAGGTCTTTGCTCCACACCTTCTGAGCCTTTCATTGGTGTTTTTGTATCTTCTAGAAACAAAGCAGTCAACACAAACATCATAAGAGCAACAAAAGAATTCCATAGAATGGTAAATCCTGACCAAAGGCTAGGAACTTTGGTAACACTAGACTTGTTAGTTGATGGAAGCGTAGGGAGAGCCTCCATATCAGAGACTTTACGTGTACAAGAAAGCAGAAGATTCATCAAAGACATTCCATCACCAAGGGAGTGGTGGAAACGAAAGACACATATGCCTTCTGCTTCCGAAGTCTTAATGTCGAGGATATGAAGATCCCACAAAGGTTTTGTGTTTTCTATAGGAGATCCACTGAGGTTGGAGATGTAATCTTCAACAAACTTGTCAGGTGACTCCATGTTATGATCAAGCTTTGCTATAATGACATGGTCATCTATGTTCACATGTGTCGGGATCCATTTCATGCTCCCATTTTCCTTGTCAAATACCTTGCATTAGAAATATGAGAAACTTAAACAACATAAGGAACAAAAGATGATATTTCTGCAGTTATTTTATTATCTATGAGTCCAAATAATTCATGGTATATGACATAATAAATGATAGTATGCGTAGCATACATAAGAATGTCTCTCGACATGAGTTTAACCTGCAAGCTAGAAAAACGACGATTTTTAAGGAAAGTATGAACCAAGTTTTCTTTGAAAACATCTGGTCGAATTTTTGTCTTTGAACCCATTATGCCAATGATGTAGACATTAGAACCAGGCTCATGAAATAACCGAGCCATAGGGCTCAATGGTTGCTCATGGTCTTCTCCCTTCTTAATATCCTCTATTGTTTCTCCATTTTTGGTGGTTCGAATAGTAAGAGGGTTCAAACTTGGAATTATGTCCATGATATTTTGAGGAAATATTTAATTTGAATATTTTTTATGTCATTTCAACCCCTTTATATAGATAAATAATAAGCACAATGTTTACCTTTGAGAGCCAAAATTGGTGGTTGAGATTCATCACGTTGATAATTATTTTAGTTTTATTAATTAGTTTGTCATAACTCTGGAAAACAATTAATCTATTATTTGAATGTGACCTAAACACGTGTAATAAATGATAACATAGAAATTCAACATAATCTTTTTTTTTCGTATAGAAATATCATGTGATATTTTAATTATATATCATTCTTATTTAGATGTTTCTTTAATTGGTTATGGTTTATCCTAAATCATTTTTAATAGTCTTTTAGGTACGTTTTAAACCGTATAAATATGCAAAAAAAAAAACGTAGATAAAGAAATAGATCTTTTTAAAACGTACATATGTTGTTTAATTAAACAACTTTTTAAAATAATAAAATATGTATTTATGCACGTAAAAAATGAAAAACAATATTTAAAGCAAAAACGTAAAATAACCGCAAACTTTAGGGTTTTATTGTGAATTTTATCCCATAGTAGTTTGGAAACCTATGATAACATGTCATGAGGGTAATAGTAGAAAAAAACTATTTTTTTTTTAGTTTTAAACGCAGCTAAAAATGATTTTAGGATAATAATTACATTTTCTTTGACAAACTTTAGGATTTTTTTTATTCTCTGTGATTGTGAGTATCTCTTTTACTTTTCCCTTCTATATAAATATAGAAATATCATTCTTTGGCAAATATAATCTTGAGCTCAATATGAAAATATGGATTAGAGCTATATTGATATTCTTTGAAACTCTCAAACCATTTTCCATAAACTATATCGCCAACAACACTATGTTTGATTCCAAACAACGAATTTGCTAAACTGTTCACCATAATTAGCTCTATTAACTGTTATCCGAACTTAAGGATTGTCCTTAAGTATAAATAGAAGTTGCAATGTTTTGGAAAACCCTTATCTGAAGCACCTCCGATGGACCCGTCCTAAAACAATTACCTTATATTTAGTTTTTTTATTAATATAAAGAAATATTAAACTTAGACTAACCATAGTATAATATATTATTTGGATTTGAATATCGAGTGTAATAAATAAGGTTAAACAACAAAAAACGAGTGGAAAATATAACAAATTGAAACGTTCGTTCTCTTGATTATCAGTACATGATTCATTAATTATAATTTTATGGAATTTTTAGTTTCACGATGCGACCTTGGGGTGGTCACAACGTGAATGGTTAAATGAAAGTCACGACATGACATCTTATGTTCACGACGTGACTGAGATGATGAGTGAAACCCTAACTCTCGACCTTTAGGCCCTATTTAAATGCTCTAACCCCTAGGGTTTGCCTCTTTCATTAGCCTTCACTCCCTGAAAACGTCCCTTACCATAACCCTAATCTTTTGGTGCTTTAAGAGAGTATTTGGCATTTTTGGTGTGATCTTGAAGAAGGTAAGGATCCTTAGTGCAAGAAGAGGAGGTTTCCTAACCAAGCTTCTTTATCCATTTCATCTTTTGTACCCTAGTGTGGTATAAAGTCTTCACATTTGTGCTTATTCTCTTTGGATCTAATATATAATGACTTTATGGTCATTTTGGTCCCAAAATCCTTGTGCTCTTAGAGTTTGATGAACTCTGGAGCCTATTGGAGCACTGTTTTAGCTTCTGAACTTTGATGATGAAGAAAAAGGGGTTGTACGGGCATGTCCTGAGCCCATGCACTAGAAATTACCTTTTGAGTGGAATTTTGACTTAGGGTTGTAGATCTTGGTTTATCGAGTTGTCTAAATGGATAAAGTTGGAAACTTTATCCATTAGGCCCCCCTTAGAGATTCAGATATGAGATTTGGAACTTTTATCTTAAAGGATTAAGGGCCGAATGAGTAAGGTTATTAAGCCGAGTTTCACGGCGCGACAACTAGGGTTTCATGGTGTGATGTTGGGTCTGTCTAGACTATTTTGTCACCTAGTGACTCATGGCGTGACCATCAGCTGGTCATGGTGTGATTTTTGCTGACTGTCGACTTTTGTTGACTATTGACTTTTTGACCAGTTTGACCTTTGGTCAAACTAAGGGTTTTGAGTAGTAGTCTGAGGTTTGACCTCTATCAGGTTAGGAGGATCATGTAGCTTTCTGGGCGAGACATTGAGTGTTGATCTGTCAATGTGTTAACTCATGTGAGTTTTGTCATTAGACTCATAGACTGCAGTATGTATCATTGTGTGTTAGGATGTGGTTATGTTGTAGTATGATGTTAGGGTGGTAGACCAGCTAGTCGGTTACTTGTGGTGTTGAGTTTTCTGTTTATCTGTAGTATATATGTCGACATATATTATGGTGAGTTGAGGCGGTCTAGCTTTGTGCTGAAGGCCAAGATACTCAGTTGGACTAGCTTAATGTTGAAGGTCAAGAGCATACCAACTTTATGCTGAAGGCAGTTGAGGCGGGGATGCTTTATGCTAAAGGCCAATGTTTGTATGTTTGTTGTGTTGCGATATTTATGGTATTTTGTGGAACTCACTAAACGTTGGCTTAAAGTTGTGGATTAAATGTTTTGAGCACTTCAAATGATCGTCGGAAGGCGAAGGCGTGACTGTACACACTCATCATCAACTTTCATGTTTGAGATTTCACGTTGTTTTATGATACTTTGATTTTTGGGCATTATGACTTATGGAATAAATGGTTTTATTGAAGTTTGGTTTTATGAAAATGATTTTTTATCTTATTTAAAAAAAACACTGTAAAAATTGGGACGTTACACAAACACGTTAAACATAGTAAACTGAGGGTTTTAGGGAAAACTGAAACATCACTCTCTAGGGTAGTTTTAAAAAGGTTCTTAAAATCATTTGATTTTATATTAAAACGTTTTAACTTCAAAAGTTATGGAAATCCAATCTCAATACATTTTCAAAATACTTCAGAGTTAATTGTAATAAGTCCCAATAATTCAAAATATAGATGTTTTGTTTTACAGATTGAGGAAGTAATCAGTTATATATCATCATAGAGTTCAAAATAATCCACATAACCCATGACCTTCAAATCGTATTCGCTACTTCTTAATGAAACTCCTAATTAATTCTTCAATATGAGCACAAGTAAAAACAAGTTAGGCCATGGAATGACAAGTACGAATACTTGTCATTCCATAAGACTTAATACATTTGAATAAAATATCTGAAATATCTAAAATCAGTATAAAACAACAAAATACCATAAGACTTAATACACAAGTGTGTAGAGTGCTAACGATTCAAATATCTAAAAACAAAAAGGTATATGAATCCATATTCAAAATCAATGACATAATATCCATCAATCTATCTAAGAGTTTAATAAATCAATACACAAAACCAAATTTGTAATAATTCCAAAAATCCAATATCAATGGATTGATAACCCATAATCCATAACAGAAAGGAATTAATATTCTATAACCCAAAATAAAGGGTTAAATAACTCTTAATCTCAAATATAAGGTTTAATTCTCATGCACATCATCTAGGTTCTTCCAATCATAATGATGACCTGTAATAATCTTAAAAAAAATATAGGCCATCAAGATTTTCACAGGTGGTGACCTGCGAAAATTACAATTATTCTGAATTTTTGCTGAAAAACTTCATAAATATGACTATTATGGTCATTTGCTAACATAAATATACATTTAACTAGAGTTAAATTTAATTTGCAAAAGGAAAATATTTTGATTATCCGATTTGAATGATCTATATCCGATCCTAATCCGACTACGGGGTTAAATATTTCTGGATCAAATCCAAATGGAGTTTTTGAGAAACTAGTTTTTAATCCTGTGATCAGATAAAATCCGACATGTGCACCTCTGTCACACCCCGGCCGTCGGCGAAAACACCGGGCGGTGTAACGTCATTTCTCGTATCATAGTTATCAACTTCATGAAAACACATGCATTTTAAAATACGTCAACAAAAGTTGGTGAGTTGTTTGAGTCCACAGGTTTTGACTCCATATAAAAATAATACATTTTTCAAGTTCAAAAGTATAGTTTTTGAAAGTATCATTTTGACTCTCCAACGTTTAGTATATATATCCAAGGTATAATGGTTTGCTTACCAAATAAGTATATACCTATAAGTCTCATATATTATAAATATAAATGTTTGTAATTCCATACAAACTAAGTTGGTACGTATAAATCTTATTTCAATTCTATACGAGTAAAACCGCTACGTATAAATCTATTTCAATTATATACGAGTAAAACTGCTACGCATAAATCTATTTCAATTCTATACGAGTAAGTAGGATAGGTATAGTGGTCTACTAATAATATACAAGTAATATACATACTAGATTCTTATACTTAGAGTATAAGTCTTTGAGAAACTTATACTTAACATTCATACTTGTATATCGACAAAGTATAATGCTTCTAAAGTTGTGCTACCATGAGTCTGTAGCTGCGACTGTATGACTTAGTTTTATACCTCTTATTATTATTACAAGGATCACACCTTGTGGTAGTTACAAGGATCACACATTGTGGTAGTTACAAGGATCACACATTGCGGTAGTACAAGGATCACACCTTGCGGTAGTTTCCGCACGCTTCATCGATGTCGGAAGGTAATAAATTAGGCAAGTTCGTCACCCGAATACCGTTGGGTTGGAGCTAGAAACCACGGGTGGGGTTGTCAACCCGTATAGATCCATATACAACTTCCTCGATCACACGGGATTAACGGTTACAGGTCAGAGGATTTCCACTAAGATTTCCAATCTTAGTTGATGAATACAATAGCTCATGTAAACTTTGACGAAGTTCTATAGTTCTAATAAGAAAACATTTTAGTGTCTAAAACCCTAAGTTACTAGACTATGCTTTTAAACATTACTCCTAATTTCATAACATTTAGGCAGTATAACAACTATAACTTGAAGTAAAACTAGGTTTTATCTTGACATGAAACCAACTATAATATATAACAT